ATATTTTGAAGCTTTGATAGCGCTCCCGGCACTTTTGGCGATAGACAGGAGGAGCGCGATCGGGCTCCCTGGCACTCTAGGGGTTAAAAGGTCGCTGCATTAGGAAGGTTGAGAACCACTGATTTAGCAGGTGAAATTAAGGAGACGCGTGTTCAAGTTAAAGAGCAGAAAGACGGGTGATGACTTTGTGGCCAATGAGATGTATGTATTGTACAGTCTGAGACGTAAAACTTGTTAATGTTGTTTTATCAGCAACAGTTACAGAGCATAGGCTGTGAAACATGATTTCCGGTATTTTCTGTATCATAACCGCCTTTTAGACCTCCTCCCTTGTTTCTTCCAAAGGCTTAATTTGCTTTATAATAAAACTGTTTTTGTTTTTCAAATGAAGAGCAGGTAGGTTTGAGTTCAGATTTTTTCTATCTCCTGCCCTCACAGAGGATTACAAATAAGAGACGGCAATTTAGAAAGGAGCCGGGTTCATATATAAAATTGTAGTACAGCTTTCGGGGTGCACTCCATGGGTTCCCCGAGGGCATCAGGCTCTCCGTGCCTCGCGTGGAGGTGCCTGCGATGCTGGAACGTGGTGCTTTGGTAACTGCGGCCTCTGCCGTGGGACGGAGGCAGGTCGCACTGGTGTTGGATTTTGTGCGATAAGGAGGGCGGGCTGTGAGCCATGGAGCCGCTCTTCCCCCCCTGAACGTGCCAGTCCCTGGGCTCTTGCTAAGCCGCTTCTGAGGCAGCGGGTCCGGGCAGCCCACGCTGCCCTCCTGACACCCTCTCCGGGGGCGGTGCTGTGGCCCCTGGGCCCCGTGTGAGCACGGCCTCCGTCTCAGTGTCCCCTCGCCTCCTGGGAAAGCCCCACCAAGTCCAGGTTTGGGCCTTTGTGACGTTGGTGTTAACAGCCTTGTCTTTCCTTTTTCGAAAAATAGCAAAACACCGAATTGCTCATAAACCTCACTCCAAACCCAAAACTTCAAATAGTTTTGAAGCGGATTTTGCAAATGTTGAATCGAAGGATCTGCTCGCGGACCAGGAGCTGTGGGCTCGGCTGGAAGAACTGGAGCGACAGGAGGAGCTGCTGGGCGAACTTGAGAGGTACTGACAGTGGGCCCCTCCCCCAGAGCTTCCTCCACGCAGCTCCTCATCCCCTCCTCCTGGGTAAGATAGCGTGTGCTCCTCGGGGACACAGGACGCGCACGGGGTCAAGTGGCAGTTGTCCCGCCCCTTGAAGTAAGTGTGAATTCTCCAGAATATTTCCCTGTAGGGCCGTGTTCACACACATGCCTGCGCACGTGGGTATAGATGTGCTGTGTTCATGTACGTGCCTGTGCACGTGGGTACAGATGTGCCTGTCATCAGCGTCCCTGTTTTTATAATAAGTATGGATATCTCATATATTACATTTGAGATACCATTTGTTGTACTTTTGTTTGAATAACCACAGTACACAAATCTTAAATTTGACCCATCGAAGTGAACTGGAAATGAGAAAACGTAAGACGCTAGTGTGTGTTCCACGTGGCTCTTCTCCCTTTGTCTCTACTAGTCAGCCTCCCACTGTGACTGCAAACGGAGAAGACACAGCGTCTTCCGAAGAGGAGAAGGAAGACGCCAGCACACGTGTGAACGGACGTGTGAACGGACACGTGAACGGGACGCATCCAGCGGCTGTTACATTTTGAATGAAGTGTTTTTATGTTGAATAACTTGTTAAAGAGGAAACGCACTGAGCGTGTGTGTTGCCGGGACGGGTCTCCCACTTCCTTTGCGCACTTGTGTTGTTGCGGGCAGTTTGTGACCGGGCAGGAGTCAGCTCCATGGGCATCCCCTGCGGGGAGAAGGCATGGCACCGGCTGCCGGGCTCCTGGGCGTCTCACCACGCAGGCTCCCAGCGCTTTGATTCGGTGATGTGCCGTAGGCAGTGCTTAGGCTCCGTGTAAAATGGCGCAGAAAGGACAGATGTCCTCCCCTCCTCTGCATTTGTCGGCTTTTTGATTAACTGATACTGTTTGATTTTTAAATCCGTTTAGTGGTGTTCTTGGTCATGATCTCTCTTTTTTGCATCATGGCATTTCAGTCCCATTGCACTTTGGGTTTTGTTATTTTTATAAGGTCCTCCAATCCTGTGTAGAATGAAGCATGAAAAATGTGCATGCGTGTATGTATATGAGTAAAGTTGTGTGCACGTGTATACATTATTTTTTAAAATCATAACATGCTTGTAAATGTAGAAATAGAGAGAAGATAAGAGTGTTCATGTTCTGTGGCTTTAGTTTCTGATCTTTAAACAGAGATACAGAATACTTTGAATTTCTTACAAATTTCTGGTAGTGTTATTTATATTGTGCTTGTATTTTGTATGGCCAGCGTCCTCTTTGCAAAGATTAGAAAAATCATGTACTCTGTTGTACTTTTGTTTGAATAACCACAGTACACAGAATCAGCAGAGGAACTAATGTGTTTCTGTTTATTTCAGAAAATTTTTGTTGACCTAGAATTCTAGTTAAAAAGTATCCTATTCAAATCTTAAATTTGACCCATCGAAGTGACCTGGAAATGAGAAAACGTAAGACGCTAGTGTGTGTTCCACGTGGCTCTTCTCCCTTTGTCTCTACTAGTCAGCCTCCCACTGTGACTGCAAACGGAGAAGACACAGCGTCTTCCGAAGAGGAGAAGGAAGACGCCAGCACACGTGTGAACAGACGTGTGAACAGACACGTGAACGGGACGCATCCAGCGGCCGAGGCCGCGGCTCCCAGCTGTCGGCCCGCGGACGACACTGTTGCAGAGCTGCTCCGCAGGCCGAGCTGCGCTGTGAATGGCTCTCGTTGCCCCCTCAGTGATGAGGATGAGGATGGTGACGACGACGATGCTCTTGGGCCAGAGGCCAGCTCTGTACCAACCATATACTTTTCTCACACCGTCGAACCCAAGCGGGTGGGTATGCTTCTGCCTTTACTCCTGTCGGGTCTCCTAAAACACGGTCTTAGCAGCGACTGATGCTCATGGTGCCAAACAAGACCGTCTCTTGTCCCTGGTGCTGATCAATTTATTGAAAAAGAAAAAGGGAGAAAAGTCAAAGTCGTTAGCACACATCGGGCCCCGGGTCTCCGCAGTGGATTGGATGGTGGGCCCGGAGGGGTCGGTTCCAGGCAACTGCTGCCCCCCCCCCCGTCCCTCATCACGGCTCCCTCGGGAATCCCAGAGTGAGCTGTATGGTGGGCGTTTGGTGTGTGCAGGGTGTTTGAAAGTGACTGCATTAGTTAAGTTTTTAATTATGCCAGGTTGCCGTTTCTATGCGGGCTGGCATAAAATGAATAGGAACATCATGAGCAAGAAGGAAAAATGTAGGAGGAAGTAAAAATTAGTCTCTTTTCTGACAAAGTAAATATAAACATCTGTGGGCAATCATGACTCCAGAATCTTGGCATTTAGAGCTGGGGTTAGAGCTTCTCTTTAGCATCCACAGACGTCTGTGCAGCCACCCTGCCCTGGGGAAGTTAGGTCGGGGAGGCTGGGCTCCGGGAGAAGGACAGGCCACCATGCGCCACCCCTGCCCTCTCCCGCTCTGCACCCTGTGTGAGGAGCCCCTCGACTCCTCTGTCTAATTGTCTTTCTCAAGGACACGGCCCGGAGACCACGCTGCTCTCGGCTTAGCGCTCCTTCCCCCTCGTGTCCCCGCAGGGCCTGCTGTTCCGTCCCAAGTGCCTGTGATGATTATTTAATGAAACATGTTTAAAACATATTTGATATTTCTCAGGTCCCTTAAGTTATCCCTGCTCTAACGTGAAGGGAAATAATTATCTGCTTTTTAATGCTCTAATACCGCAGACTGAAGGGAGCACTTACTGATTCCGTGGGAAAAGGGCTGATCCCTCAGAAAGAAAGTTCGCTTTGTGATTCCTTGGGCCTTGCATTTCTCGTACTTGCGGCCGGACGGCGCGGGAGGAGTGAGGGCCTGTGCAGGGTGTTGGGGTGTCGTTCACGGGACAGTGCAGGGGTGCCAAGCAGGGCACCGGAAGGACAGAGCCCTGAGCAGGTCCGTCTTGGTTTTCAGTGTATTTACGGAGAGCATCATGGACGAGTGGCCCTGCCCGTTCAGACCCGTGTTGTTCAAGGGTCTGTCTTTTGCTTTTGATATGAAAGCCGAGGCCCTGGGGCCTGGAGTGGTCGCTGGTGAGAGGTAGCTCAGTGCTGTGGGCCTGCGGGGGTGGAGGTGGGTGGAGGGGGCGTCTGACCGCGTCTCATGCTGCACCTCGCTTCCGTGCGGGAAGCACAGGCGGCCCCGCTGCTGTCACTGCTTTCAGTGCTGAGAGCGTTGGTTTCCGTTTGGCTTTGACTTAATTGCTCAGGAGGATTGTCATTTTTTGCTGTGAACGTTTTAGGTTCGAATCAATACTGGGAAAAACACCACCTTAAAATTCAGTGAGAAGAAGGAAGAAGCCAAACGGAAGCGAAGGAACAGCTGTGGTGGCCACCCGGCCCCGGAGCTGCCCACGATCAGGACCCCTGCGGACATCTACAGGGTCTTCGTGGACCTGGTGAACGGGGCGTACATCCCTCGGAAGTCCATCCTGAAGTCGCGCAGCCGCGAGAACAGCGTGTGCAGCGACACCAGCGAGGGCAGCGCCGACTGCGAGGAGCGCCGCGGGCTCCTGCGGAGTGTCAGCTGCCAGGAGGCCGCGGGCAGCGACGCCGGCGAGAGCATTTTGGAGCCTGCACACTCCCCACAGGGGACGTGCCCGCAAGCAAGGCACATGCCCTTGACCAGAATCGAACCCGGGACCCTCGAGTCCGCAGGCCGACACTCCATCCACTGAGCCAAATCGGTTAGGGCTGGCCAGCACTTTAAAACGTTCCTGATGGATCTAGTCAAACCACGTTGTCTGTAACTTTAGAAATGGAGGTGTGTCCGGTGGGCACGGCCGAAGGGACGTGTCGCTGCAGCCTTGGCTGGGCCTGGTGCCGGCACTGCCTGACCGTCGGCATGGCCCACGTTCTGGAAATGGCAAAGGCTGCTGCCTGCCTCCTAGGCAGGCCTCAGTTATGGGTGGGGTTTCGGCAAATGAAGCTGTTGTCACCCAGAACGTGTTCATAGTGAAGGGCTGTGTTCCATTAGCCCCAGGTTACAGTTTCAAAAGCAGGAAATACGTCCTTTGAAGCTACACAGTTATTTTGATTGTGAAAATGTTAGGTACACGTTTGAATAAAACATGTCAGGCTAATTTCTGGAGCAGGTTTCACACACGCTGCTCCGCGTGTCGGTGTGCACGCCTCAGCGGGTGTGTGCTGTGGCCGCAGGGTCTTCGTGGACCTGGTGAACGGGGCGTACGTCCCTCGGAAGTCCATCCTGAAGTCGCGCAGCCGCGGGAACAGCGTGTGCAGCGACACCAGCGAGGGCAGCACCGCCGACTGCGAGGAGCGTCAGCTGCCAGGAGGCCGTGGGCAGCGACGCCGGCGAGAGCATTTTGGAGGAGGAGCAGGAGCAGCTTCCAGAGACGCTCTTGCCCGCGCCCGGGACGCTCGAGGTGTGTGTGTGTCCCACTCGTGTCACGCGGTGTCCTTGGCTGATTCTGGGAGGTGGGTGGTGGCCGCGGCCTTCACGGCCCTCGCTCCCTGTCCCTGTCCCACGTGTTCGTGTGGGTGCGGAAGGTGTTTCTCTAAGAGGCCTTGCTCTTGTGCTATCTCCCAGGTCTGGTCTATCAGTCGTTCGTTTCATTGCCTTTAAATGACTGTATTTTATATATTTATTGTTGAAGTTAAACTGGGTAACGGCATTGTTCACCTTGTAACTTAGCTTTATATGTTTACTCATTCTCAGGAGTCATAGGACCTAGTCAATTCCAGGCTTGTACTTGTTTGATGAATAGTGTTTTTACAAATTATTATTTAAGTGCTACATGGTCTTGTACCCTGGTTTACAAGGTAAGCAAACTGTGCGTGAAAGTTTATGTCCGATTCAGTGTGCACATGAGTTCTTGGAAGATGCAAGGGGGAGGCTCCAAACACCAGAAATCTTTAAAAGAAGTCGTAACAACTTGGTCTTTATTGATCTCCCTGTAAAGTGGTCAGGTGGCCGCTGAAGGCGGGCTGGTGTGTTCCCGTGTTTGTGCTCAGTCCTGTGGCTCCAGTGGAGCTCGCATGCCAGGCGGCCCAACAAACGCCGTGGCCTTCAGGTCTGCCACACGGTCAGTCGTAGCGAATGCTGAGGCCAGCGCTCATCCCACCAGTGTCAGTGTTGTCACTAAAAATAGATACATTTTTATTGATTTCAGAGAGGAAGGGAGAGGGAGAGAGACGTCAGTGATGAGAGACCCCTGGTTCATAGGTCGATGCTCAACCTCTGAGCCACGCTGGCCGGGCAGCGGGTTGCTTTCAGGTCCCACTCGTACATAAAGTTGAGGCGAGACACAGTGCGATACCCGTAAGTGCACGAGCGGACGCCACGTCAAGCCTACAAGAGTAGGCTCGCTGCTGGGAGACGGAGGGCCTGCGGGCCGGGCCCCGCCTCGTGTGAGCTGTCAGAGTGGACTTCCACTTGGTGGTGTGATTAAGATGTAATGGCATTTGATTTCTCTGAGCAATTTGTATTTTGATGTTTTTTTTAATCCAGAAATCTTGTGAATTCACTTTTAATGAAAAGAAATGTGTCATTGACTGATACAGGATGAAGGACTGTGTGGCAGCTTTCTTGCGTTTTATTACCGCACTCCGGCGTTTGTCTTGTAGGCTTTTTCTGGAACTGTCATAGAGAAAGAATTGTCGCCCTGCCTCGCCCCGCACCCGGCCACGGTCCACCCTGTGCTGCCCACGATCCCTGAGCGGAGAGAAGTCCCGTCAGAAGGGTCGGAGGTCACCAAGCGGGTGTCCAAGTTCAAAGCCGCCAGGCTGCAGCAGAGGACCTAGGCTGCCAGGCAGTGGGCGCTGCGCCCTGCAACCTCGTGCTGCATCGTCTAGAGTTTGTGTCGCTGAGGCTCCTCGGAGAGTGGAAGGAGGGGTCCTGAGTGAATTTGGAAGCAGATTCTCCTATTCGTCGGTGGAGATGAGGATCCGAGTGAGCCCAGGACTTCCCAGTCCACTTGCTCGTCGTCCTCCGGCACCGGCGACACCGCTGCTGCCTCTGATGCCACGGCTCTCGGATCGCTTCTCAGAGAGGTTGTTCCTGGGCGTGGTTGGTGTTTCGAACTAAACGCAGGCAGTTCCGTGCCAGCTGTGATGTGCACACCACATGGACCGTGTAGCAGAAACGTAAGATTCAGACCCAGCAGTTCTGTTCCTGCTTCAGCCTTTGAAAGGCCCTGTAAGAAACCTTCTGGTGGGTTCTGCAGCGAGGTGCCCTTTAACCCCGGGACTGCCGCTGTCCTCGGCAGAAGCTCCCGTGGCCTGTGGGCAGGTTTCTTGGTCGGAAGAATGGGATTTTGTAAAACTTTTTTTTTTTTAAGTAAAAATTTTATGAAACTTGGTCTCGAAAATGCTGTGGACTTTATGACTCAGAGCCGCGTGTGGAGATGGCTGATTTATGCACGCGCTGCGAGCTCCGCCAGCCGCCCTCGCGGCCCAGGCCGCCTCTGCATGTGCAGGGTAACGGGCGCTGTATTTGGGGGAGAAAGAGCATGTCTTCATGATGACAAAAAAATTTTAAATAAGAAATTTTATGTCCTGGTCTTCCCAACCCTTCATTCTCTTAAAAATTTTAACTTGGTCTCGAAAATGCTGTGGACTTTATGACTCAGAGCCACGTGTGGAAATGGCTGATTCATGCACGTGCTGCGAGCACCGCCAGCCGCCCTCGCCCTCGCGGCCCCGGGCAGCCTCCGCGTGTGCAGTGTAACGGGCGCTGTATTTGGGGGAGAAAGAGCATGTCTTCATGATCAAAAAGATTTTAAAATAAGAAATTTTATGTCCTGGTCTTCCCAACCCTTCATTCTCTAAGGATGAATCGAAATGTCATATTTACTTTTAGCAAAACTTAAAATGCAGAAATGTATTCTAATAGAAAATTGTGTCGCACGTGTAAATCCTCAGCTTGATGCCAACATGTGGCTTTTAAAAGCATCCTGCGCTCCTAAAACAAGCCATCAATGCCCGGCCCCTATTCACGGCTGTGTCTGAAGGCTATTTATAGCTCCTTTAATGAATTCTTGCTTAAACAAAGTGAAGTTATGTCCTAGAAAAGAGGAGTGTTTGTAACTGGAGCAGCGGCACTAAGAGTTGATGAAGATGCGCTTTAACAGTGGGGTGAGCCGAGTCCCACACGCTGAGGGGCACAGGGGCTGTGTTCTTCACTAAATCCTGAGCGACTTTCCTACAGTTTTAGTGAAAAACTGTTTTCGCTCAGCCCATCCCCCACAAAACCCGAAACCCAACCAGAGGACAGCGGTGCCCTCGGAGGTGCCTGGCGGAGCTCTGGCAGCTGCTCAGTCTACAGCTTCAGCCACGCTCGGGGGATTTCCTTTTTCTTCTGAGCCCCTGAACGGCAAGTTTAAAATGCCCAGACAGCCCGGCCGGCCGGTGGGGCTCAGGGGTTCAGTGTCAACCTATGAACCAGGAGGTCACGGTTGGATTCCCGGTCAGGGCACAGGCCCGGGGTGCGGGCTCGATCCCCAGTGTGGGGCGTGCAGGAGGCAGC